ATACCATCTATTCCTGGGGCCTTATTTTTTGCTATTTCCTTCAAAGCAGCCTGAACTTCTTCTTTCATCACCATAGGCTCTTGCTCATATGTTGTTTCATTAAATTCTTCTGTGTCTGACCATTCTTTTTGATACAGTGACTCAGTATATTCTTTCCATCCTCTTTTGATTCCTCCCGGATCATTTAATATTCTGCCTAAAGCATCCTTAATTATAGCAACTGGAGGTTTGAATTTGTTCTTTAGTTCCTTGAGTTTAAGAAATGCTGAGCGAGTTCAGCCCTTTTCATTTTCTGACTCCAACTCCTTGCACATTTCATTGTAATATTTTACTTTGTCATTCCGCGTTGCCTTTTGAAATCTTCTGTTCAGCTCTTTAGTATCTTGAATTCTTCCAGTTCTCTCCTTCATCTGTTTCAATGCAGTATACATGATTTATCCCATCTTTCTCAGTCTCTTCACAACCCCAATGTCAGTCCTGTTTTACAACAGTGGCACTATGCAGTATTTGCCCTTTTTTGACTGAGATATTTTAATCAGCATAATGTCCTCCAGGGTCACCCATTTTGTATATTTCATGAGTTCTTTGTTTTTCAGTGCAGTGTAGTATTCCATTTTGTGAATATGAGTTTTGTTTTTTTTTAAAAAATACGCAAAGACAAATGACCTTTGAAATGCCAGAATATATTTGCTTAAAGATAGGTGAATTTCAAGTTATAGAGGTAAAAGCAAAATGAATGGTTATATGTTTCTTTTTGGAAGATAATTTATTTTTAACTAGTCACTTGGTTAGGTTTTATAAAATCATAGTGTCTATCAACTTGTACTGTGGTAGAACTGAAAGGGATAGTTAAGTTGGAGCAACAAAAATCTATTTGTATTGGCTTGATCCTTGTGAGAGGTAGGGGGTGGGGTGGGGAAGAACACCTGTGGTAAGCCAAGTGATCATAAAGAGAATTAAGAAAATTGAGGGTGAGGAAGCTTGACTTTAAACAACTCTAGCTGGCTTATTGTGAATCACTGAGTTGATGGGCGTTTTCCACAAATATTAACGGTAACTACATGGATGCACTGATGTTATTGTTACATGCTTTGGCAACTTATAGTAACACTGTGTGACAGAGTTGAATGGCCCCCTGGAATTTTCCATATAACCTTTACAAGAGTACATCACCCAATCTTTCTCATTCTAAGGTACTAGGTAGACTCAAACCACCAACCTTTCAGTTAGTTGCTGAGTCTTAACTGTTGATTCACCCAGAGGTGCTGTGAAAAAAGACCTGTATTTTGCTTTGTCTTTGGTGGCCCTAGTCCACAGACAGTTGCACTGCTAACCCAAACGTGACATATCTCCAGTAGTTCAAATCCACCAGCATCTTAAAGAGAGGAAGATGAGCAATCTTCCTCCATGTGATTTACAGCCTCTGGAAGCCTACTAGATGTTCGACCAACTATGAATTGACTCCAGTTTGATGACAATGAGAGTGAAGTTATCTAGTATGGAAAGATTACAGCCATGACATGGAGCAATTGCACTCTGGGTACATGCATTTGCTATGAGTTGGAATCAACTTTGTGGCAACTGGTATAGGCATATAGGCTGAATAAATCAGTTTAGAAAGAAAGCTTCTAACTAGTTAGTGGTTGAATGACTTCTCTAAATGAATCCTAGTTGTTTTTGTTGTCAAGCATGACTCATAGCGACTCTATGAACTAAAGACCTGATGCCTTTTTATAACTATCATTGTTTCTCCAAGTTCATAGAGTTTCCATAGGCATGTGGTTTAGGAAGTGGATGTCACTCCTGCTTCCAAACCTGTCTTAAAAACTGGGTGCTCCCCCAACCACTATGGCAATTGACACAAAATGGCACAAGGTTCAGCATCACAGCAAACTCAGATTATATCAGCACAGCACATTGACAGAACAGTGATGTACATCTTAGAAGAATGTTTCTACCAAATATAACAACATTGCTCTCACTTAGCAGTTGGTAAGTGCCGTCAACTCGAGTAAATCTCATTGTAACTCTATGAACCAAAGACCTGAGCCCTGTACTCTAACATCATTTTTATGAAGTGATAAATATTATACTTCAGTTATGTACAAAATAACATGCAGTCTTGGAAATAACACTGAGTGGCTGTTACTTTTTGCTGCTAACCTTTCAACTTTGTATAGACCTCTCACTACAGGTTTAAACTCCATACTCATTGCTATTGAGTTTTGACTCCTGGGGACTGTGCATCAGGTTTCTGAAGCTGTAAACCACAATAGGAGGAGATTACCCATCTTTCTCCCTTGATGCCACGTTGGGTTAGCCTTCCCATTCACTATGGTTTAAACCACCCCACCGGAGCTTCCTGAACAAAGTTTTGTTGTTATGTACTGTCCAACTCAAACTGACTCACAGCTGATCCTCCAGAGAGTTTTCTGTCCATCTTTCTCTTGAACAGTAGTGGTAGATTTGAACCACTTTCCTTTGAGTTGGCAGGACAACACCTTGCTGCTAAGCCACCAGAGCTCCCCACAAAAAGTTTAAAAGTCACAAATTTGTAATGTCTTTAGTAGAGAGAGAGAGATCATTACTTTGAAAGTGAAAAATAAATTTTTAAATACGGAGAGTATTTGAGGAACTTGAAAGAAATGGCTTCTCAAGTCTGCGAGACCAGAATGTTTGAAGACTTTTTCACATTCTCTTTGTCACCGTCAGAGTAATCCTATCTGTCTGAAAACAATGGGTGTAAAGATATAAGTAACAAAGATGACACACAGGAGCCTTGCCTAGGCCAGCTGGGCAGTCTGACGTTGAGTGCAGCCAGGAACTGACAAGGCTCAAAATTAGAGAGATTGTTTTGTAGATTATGCATTTAAAAGCATAAACTATGACTGATTAAAGGCATTTATTACTTTCATTTTAATTGTGTCACATCAGTCAAGGGTACAATTACAGGAAATGTGAAGAACAAGTCTCAAATGTGTTGTGTTTGCCTTTTGTTCTTGTCTTTTGATTCAGCAGAATGTACAATTTTTCTTTTTTCAAACATAAACATAAATGAAAGAAACTGGCAGAGACGCACTAAGCAGATCAAAGACAACTGAGTCTTCCCGCTAATAAAATGTTAAGGGCTTTTCATTTTGACACTGCGGAGGTCACAGAAATTGACTTAGAATGTAGGCACAGTAAAAAATAAAACATTCAAAGTGCATATTTGGGAAGTTTCTTTATTTGGAATAAAGAATTCTGGGTTACAAAACCTGTGAATGGCTTATGGAACGCAGCTTACTAAATTAATTTTTGTCCTGACAAAGGAGAAAAATCTTGCCCTTCGAGAGTTGAAAATATATCTAATTTATACCCCTGCAGTTATTGGTCCACAGCTAAGTTTGATCATTGGTGGCATTGCCAGATTCATTACCCTCTTCAGCTGGTGTGTTGTGTCCTCGCTGGCTTGGGATAGCAGGAAGTACTCGATTGGTGCACAGAGGTTCTCCAGAAAGAACTAGAAAGGAAAAGTAGAATAAGAGACTTTGAAAATTTGCTTCCTCACAGTCTTAGGAGAGATGGTGGTAGAAAAACCATTCTTATAGAGAGGGACATTTATTTCCAAGTTTCTTTGTTGGTGAGAATCGGGCTGCAGAAGAAAGCTTTATTTGCGTTTCTGCTTAGGCTTTCGACATGTAACTAGGAAGGTCAACTATTAAAAAAAAACAGGACTGGGTCAAAGGGGATCAAAACATGATTGGACTACGCATGTCTGGCAGCATTCTTCCCTGGGTGGGGTAGCAGTTGTTTGCCAAATCAGTACAAATCTCTAAAAACAAGCCCTACAACTTAAAATCTGTGCTTTAATGAAGACTACAAACCTCAAAAGGTTCTCTAATTTTTTTTAGGAAAAGCACTTCATTCTATTCATTTCCCTGGAGCTAAAGATCAAAAGTTCTGTTCTTCTCTTTCTTTTCTAACCTTCACTGTGAAAAATCTTCTGAGCTTTGCCAAAGAAAAGGTCTTATCTGTGACTTTTCTGGGAAGGCTGGGTGAGATAGTGTTTTACAAGGGGGGGTTGCTGCCTGAAGACCAATGGTGCGAATCTATCCCCTGATCTGAGTCAGAAAGATAGGCATTCTTTTCTCATGAAGATTTTAACCTCAGAAACCCCAGGGAGGATTGCCAGGAGTTGGAAATGCATCAATGACAATGAGTTTAATTTTGACTTCTCTAAGACATATTTGTTTTGTAGCAAACAAAGATTATTTGAACAAACAAACACATTGTGGAGAGGGCGAAACTTTGCTCTTTTGAAGCAAAGATGGTGAGGCTTCGCCTCAAATACTTTGGCCATGTTGCTAGGAGGGGCTGAAGGACATGATACTTGGAAAGGTAGCGGGTCGGCAAAGGAGACCAAGTGGATTGAAACTGTGACTGAAGCAATTGGCTCTTTTGTGTCAGGAAGTGTAAAGATAGCAGAGGATGGGACATGGTTCAAGTTTGTTATTCATAGGGTTGTACTCAACTCAATGGCACCTAACAACAACAAGAATAAGAAAGCTCTGGTGGCTTAATGGTAAGGACTTGTGCTTCTAATGCAAAGGTATGTGGTTTAAATCCACCATCTGTTCTATGGATGAAAGATGGGCAATCCCGTCCTGTGCAATTTACTTCTGTAAACCCACCAGAGAAGGATCAGCTCTGGGTTAGTTCCAACTTGATGGGAAACATTAAGAAGCACCTTCAAGCTTTAAGACTGAATGACTCTTTCCTTAACAGATGCCTTTGTGATTAGTTTTTTGCTGAAATATAAGTCCAGGCTAGGATGCCATTGAACAGTATAACCTACACCATTCAAAAATCTCATGTTAACCCAAATCAGAAAGGGCAGAGGAGATGATCTATCGAGGAAGAAGTCTTGGTTTCTGCCACTAATCTTCTCTGTCTTTGGAAATAACTGTCCACTCTTGCTGTGAAAAGATGAGGGTGACCTAAGACTTTATCGTCTCCTTCAAATTACAGAATGGGGAAACAGACAAGCTGTATGCACAGTGTTTTAAACATGGCACACAGAGTAGGGCACAGTTCAGAGCCCTTGTTCATAGTGTTTCTTTGAGTCATAGTTGGCCCAATGGCACATAACAACAACAGCAACATTTCATTCTCATGGCCCAAAGGAGGAAATACAAATAGAGAAAGGTTTAAAAGCTTGTCAGAAATCGAGCTCACACTCATGACCTTTGAGTGGGAGCTGACTCTTGACCCTTCAAGCAAGTTTTCAGAGGCTGAAACCACATGACATTTGACTGTCTATCTTTCTCCTGAGGAACAGCTGGTGGATTCGAACCATTTGCCTCTGAGTTGGCCTTTTTACCCACTAGGTTCCTATGTTGTTGCTGTTGTTATGTGCCGTCGAGTCGCTTGCGACTCATAGCGACCCTATGTACAACAGCCCTAAACTCTGCTCTGTCCTGTGTCAATCACACTGTCTCTGACACTCCCATCCCAATTACCCCAGTCACTGAATCAATCCACCTCATAGAGGGCCTTCCTCTCCTGTGCTGCCCCTCCACCCTCCCAAGCATGATGTCCTTCTCCAAGGACCAATAGCTCCCTGAAATTATTTAGACATCTCTGAGATCATCTAAGCGGCACTAAAAAGCAGATAGAAGGAGGTGAACACATCTGAAGTGTATCAAAAGAACAGAATGGGTATAGATAACAAGTAGGAAGAAAAAAGATGGAAATAAATTAGAATCTAGCAGTGGTTATTTGTTATAATGCGGATGACTCAGTATCCAGTTGTTTCACTCCTGGATCTGTTTTTTAACTGGATCAGCTGTGGTGGAATTGTTTCTAACTCATGACAATTTCACTTGTGTCATGTTAGAACTGTGCTCCCTGAGATTTTCTGTGTCTGAAGTACATTGCCAGTACTTTGTTCTGACACACCTCAGGGTAGACTCAGCATTTCAATTAGCAGTTGTGTACCTTATTACCTTACTGCAAGAGAACAAATAAGTCTGTCCTGGAGAGGGTGAAACCCAGTTGCCTCCTTGGAGGCAAGGATTTCAAAACCCAGTCTCACAATACTTTGTGCATGTCACCAAGAGGGACAAGTCCTTGGAGAAGGATATCATAGGGTATAGGGTCAGTGCAGGAGAGGAAGATCTTGGATGAGATGAATTGACACAGTGACTGTGGCAAGGAGGTCAGGTGTGTCTGAGAAGGTAAGGCTGGCTCAGGATAGGGCAAGTTTCAGAGCAGTTGGCACATAACAACAACCTTATTACCTAATGATGACTAAGTCATGTATCATGTAACTTCTCTGAACTCAGTTTTCTCTTCTGTATAATGGAAATAATAATAGAGCCAATCCCCTTAAAAAATAAAAATAATATAATAATAATAATAATAAAATCCTCATATTACTTGGAATCTCTGCAGTGAGGCCTATGAATCTACTTTGCAATCAGCATTACAAGTAATAACTAGGACTATTCAAATCTGAAGATCCCTGGTTCTATGGCTTATGTTAAATCTTATATATTGTGATGGATTATTTGTGGCCAATGCAAATAAATCAATAATAGTCGTGATGGATAACATCAACCTGATTATTCCTTTCTATTTAGAAACACACATGAGTACAGAGGTGACAGAAACACCCACTCATTTACCATAGTAAGGAAACCAGTGCCAAGAAGCCAGCCTTGAGAATATTTAAAACACTTTCTTAAAGACATTAAAGGAATGCACACCCATGTTTATAGTGGCTTTGTTCACAATAGCAAAGAGTTGGAAACAACTTAAGTGCCCATCAACAAACGAATGGATAGAGAAGCTGTGGTATATTCACACAACGGAACACTATGCTGCATTGAAAAACAAAAACTCATGGAATATTATACAAAATGGGTGAGCCTGGAGGATTTTATGCTGCATGAAATATCTCAGTCAGAAAAGGACAAATATTGCATAGGGTCACTGTTGCAAAATGGGACTGACATTGGGGTTGAGGGAAGACTGAGAAAGAGGGGATAAATAA